GAAGAGCGGCAAGCTGTCTTAACTGCTGAGTCATCTCTCCAGCCCAGTCTTGTTTTTCATATATCCATGTATGTGACACTTAGAAGATGGGGCTGGAGAAATGGCTTAAGAGCACTGTCTGCTCTTGCAGAGAACCTGAGTCCAATTCCCAGCGTCCACACGGTAGGTTCCAACCATCTGAAACTAGTTCCAGGGGATCGGATGTCTTCTTCTGACCTCGACAGGCATTGCACAACATGAGTGCACTTGCATACGTGCAGGCAAAACAGTCATACAGATTTTTTTTTAAAGCCAGTGGGATGGCTCAGAGGTTATGTCACTTGCAGCCAAGCCTGACAGCCTGAGTTCAGCTCCTGGGGCCCATGTGGAAGGAGAGAATGGCCTTCCAAAGGAAGTTATTCTCCTGTCTCCACACGTGCACCATGGCACATCACACACACAAAATAACACATTTTCCAGTGTGTTCACTAGGGATTAGTGTGAAAACAGGTGCTATTTTCTTTTTTTTTTTAATATTATTTTTATTTTATGTGTATGAGTGTATTGCCTGCATGTATGTGAGTGCAATGCCTGCAGAGGACAGAAGGGGGTGTCGGATCCCCTGGAACTGGAGTTACGGACAGTTGTTAGCTGCCATGTGGGTGCTGGGATTCGAACCCGGGTCTTCTGCAAGAACAACCAGTGTTCTTAACCACTGAGCCATCTCTCCAGCCCCTCTTAGATACTTAAATCTGAGTCCCTGGTCAGACTGGACACAAATCACTTTGAGATTACTTTCTCTTTAACAAGTTTAGTTTGAGCTGTGCTTGGTAGTGCCAATAATTCCAACACTTGGGAGGCAGAGGCAGGCAGATCTCTGTGAGTTCCAGGCCAGCCTAGTCTACATAGCAAGTTCCAGGCCAGCTGGGGCTACAGGGAAACCCTGTCTCAAGAAGACCAAAGAAAAGAAAAAAGTTTAGTTTGAATGTTGGAATTATAGCGAAGTGCCACCATACCCAACTCTGAAGAAGTAATTTAAAATTATCAAGATTCAAGCCAGGCATGGTGGCACATGCCTTTAATCCCAGCATTCGGGAGGCAGAGGCAGATGGATTTCTGTGAGTTTGAGGCCAGCCTGGTCTACATAGCAAATTCCAAGTCAGCTAGATCTACATAGTAAGACCCCATCTCAAAAATAAATAATAATAATAATTTAAGAAAATATTAGAAGAGACTTTGAATGGCCATCTGTAGGACTGGCTAACTAAATGAGGGTCTGAGTATACAATGGCTTACTATGTACTCAGGAAAGGAAGTGGGGAACACTGCATAGACAGATATGGAACTGTTCCCAAAACAGGCTGTTAAGTGAAAAAGTTATATATGTATATACATGTGACACTATCATAAGAAACTTAAAACAGTTGTCAGTCATTGAGAAATAAAGAGGAGACATATATCCTTTAAATCTATTCAGAACTTTTATTTATTTATTTATTTATTTTTGGAGACAATCTCACTTTATCAACCAGGCTGGCCTTGAATTCAAAGATCCACCAGCCCTATGCCTCCCTAGTGCTGGGATTATTGGTGTGTGCCACCATGCCTGGCCTATTTATATCTTTTGCTTTGTGAAAATAATTTATTATTTTTATTTTATTTTGTGTGTATGAGTGTATTGCCTGTATATATGTAAGTGTACCCGTGTCATGCAATGCCTGTCGAGGTCAGAAAAGGATGTCAAATCCTCTGGAACTGGAGTTATGAATGGTTGGTAGCCACTGTGTGGGTGCTGGGAATTGAACCCAGGTCCTCTGCAAGAGTAGCCAGTGCTTTTAACCACTGAGCCATCTCTCCAGCCCCAACTTTTTCATTTATTACTTTTAATATACATTATCTATTTTTTATTCATTTGCTCTTGAAAATAAAAACCACTAATTACAGCACCTCATAGAACATGCTTTGTTCCGCCCGTGCCACCCACATTCATGTCTCCCAACACCGTTCAAGAGACTGTGCCCTAAGGCTTGATAGCCAAGCTCAAGTGTCCTCTAGTGTGGGGACTCAGAGGAAGGAGGCTAAGGAATGACCTTGAACCTTGCCCCACAGAGCATCAAGGCCAACCTGAGCAGGGAGAATGAGGTGGTGAAGGACAGTATGCGCCACCTCAGTGAACAGCTGAAAAGCTATGAGAACCAGTCGTCGATCATGATGAGCATCAAGAAGGAGCTGTCCAGCCTGGGCCTCCAGTTACTGCAGAGGGATGCGACCACTGTCCCCGCCACCGATCCAGCCTCAGGTCCTAACAGCAAGGCTCAGGTGAGGCCCCAGCTCTGACCATAGGGACAGAAGGTGACTGGGCTTGAGGACACAGGGTTGTGTGGGTTTGGAGCCAAAGGACAGAGCTAAGGGAAAGAACAGCAGGAAAGTCCATCACAGGCAGGCAGGGGTAGAGGAATACCTACTCCTGCTTGTGGCTGACATAGGTAAGCTGTGTATAGATTCAATTAAAGAGGCTAGATGAGCCCTAAGCTGGGTGTTTAGCAATATTCTTTGTTTAAATAAATGTTATTATTTTTATTTTATGTGTATTCGTGTATTGCCTGCATGTATGTAAGTGCACTCATGTCATGCAATACTCGAGGAGGTCAGGAGAGGATCCCCTGGAACTAGAGTTACAAACAGTTGTTAGCTGCCATGTGGGTGCTAAGAATCAAACCTGGGTCCTCTGCAAGAGCAGTCAGTACTCTTAACCTTTGAGCCATCTCTCCAGGCCCCTTAGCAATATTCTAATTCCCAGTTCTTAAAGTACTAGGAGTGAGGTTGCAGAGACCAGCCTCCCTGCCTGGCCCAGGGAGACCAAACCAGCTCTCCTACAATATTGCTTCCAGCTGCCCCTGCTGTAGCTGGGCCCCTGGGTGGGTGCCTGCTCAAGGGTAGATGGGCAATGCCTCAGGGATTCATGCAGACAAATACCAGTTCACCCATCATGCCTCAGTGGAGAATTTGTGCAGCAAACACCCAGGCATCCTGTCCCCAACTTCAGAGTGAGCAGAGCCACCTATAGCAGAGAACAGGTCTTCGTACAGACTTGAGACAGATCACCCTATAGGCAGATAAACTGCCAAATGACCCTTCCACTGTGCAGATAACTCAGGAAGTGAGCACACCTTTGGATGGATGCCTTGTGTAAAGGCTGGTTCCTCTGCTGGCATGCCAGAGTGTGTGACCTGGGAAAGGGAGTATAGCAGGTTCCAATTCTGTCAGTTCCCCTCCTGTCAGTCACCCGCAGGCAAAGGGCACCAGTGACCTTGTTTTCTGTTCAGTGGAAGAAGGGACCTGGCATTTGCAGGAGTCCTTCCCCAAACCTGACTTTCTCACACAGTGTCAGCTAATCCCAGTTAAACATACAAGGAATGGGTAGGGACCCACTGTGTACATACATACATGAGGAAACATGGAGAGGGGTCCCAGGGAAAGGAGGGTAACTGAGCCAGGGCTGCAGCCAGCCTACGTGACTGTCCAGCCCCAGCCCTTCCTCCTCAGCTTGCAAGCTTCCTGTGCTGACATCATGATAGATAATGGTACCTTTGGTGACTGCAGGCAGGACAGCCTAGACATGATAAAGTGTGAGGAAGCCTGTGCCTTGGCCTGGACTGACTGCCTACTAGTGATGCCAGTTCTGCAGGCATGAGTTGAATCTTGCTTTGGCAGCAGCCCAGAAAGGGTCAGATATTGTACTGCCGTATCTGCCTGAGCATCTGTCTTACAATGGGTGACGTCATAGCCATGTGTTCTTGTGCCAAGCCAGCCCTAGAGCATTTGAATAGGAAGTGAAAATAACAAGACTCACAAAATATTAGGCATGGCATGCCCTAGGGGTAGCTGGACCAACCATGGCACTAAAGGGCTTCCCAAGATGCCAGGACATTCCAGGCACATCTTGATGAGTTGGTCACCCTACAGAGGGATCCAAGAACCTCTCCCTTTCCCACATACTAACACTGATAGTGACAGCCAAGGCTTCAAGCCCTTTTCTAGGGAGTCAGACAGTCTGCCAAACTCCAGGGGAGGAGTGAACAGGAGTTGGGAACCAACATGTAACCCACCAAATTGGTTCTCAACCCTCAAGGGAGCTAGAGAGCTGAGTGGAGAAACTGAGGCAAACCAATTATGGATGTAACCACTATGGGAGGGAAAGGAATGCTGGGACTTCATAAAGAAGTGTGGAACACCACGACCACCTCCAGCCCCCAAACACTGGAGTGCCCATCACTCCCACCCCATTCTCTCTACTGCCCCCCAAGTCTGAGGTTTCCTTTCTCTCCCAGAACACAGCTGGAGGGCAAAGCAAGGAACAAAACAAATATGGCAGCGTGCAGAAGAACTTTGCAGACAGGGGCATTGCAAAGCCTCCTAAGGAGAAGCTGCTGAAGATGGAGAAGCTGAGGAAGGAGAGCAGCAAGGACAGATTCCCCCAGCCCACGGCCAGGCCACGGGCCCTGGCCCAGCAGCAGGCTGTGATCCGAGGATTCACCTACTACAAGGCGGGCAAGAAGGAGGCCAGGCAGGAAGTACCTGAGGCCATGACTGGTGAGTGGGGCCTGGTTGAGGTATGGCCATCTCCAGTGATCCACCTGCCTTCTCAGCAGTCACAAGGCCACACATCTCAGCTCTGTTGTCTACCTGTTCAGTGTCCTTTGCTCAGCCACATGCTGGGTGGAACCCTCCACCCACGGAGGGTTGTTGACAGTGGAATGAGAATGATAGCACAAGGGACCCCTCATCCCATATTTACAGCTCTTCTTACCTTTGCTAGACTCTTCTCTGTTCATTCAGGGATTAGCCGAAGGTCAGCTGTGGACCAGATGATGGTGAGTGAGGCAGACACAGGTCCTGCCCTCACAGAGCATGCAGTCTAATAAGAAGAGCCACACTAATGACCAGACCATTGTCATGGTGCAGGTGGGAGACCTTGGGGGTTCTGGGGAATGATGTTGCTTCCAGACTGGCTTCTCCATTGTCTTCATGTGTCATCTCCCCGGAGATGGAGACAAGCCCACAGGCACTTTTCCTGCATTCCTCCTGGATCACAGTGAAGGGCAACACAGGAAGTAACTGAGAAATAATAGCCCCAAGTTCCAGAAGTAACTACCTCCAGTCCCCAAACACTGGAGCTTCCATCACTCCCACCCCATTCTCTCTAATGAGAGACTTCCCTTCTCTCCCAGAACACAGCTGGAGGGCAAAACATGGAACCCAACAAATATGGCAGCATGTAGAAGAACTTTGCAAATAGGAGAAAATTTCTTATGCAAAAATTTCTGGTTGTACCTCATGATTCTACCTCTGAGATTCTCTCCAAATAAGTGCTATTCTCTTGAGGAGAGTTCCAAATCTCATTTCCCCTTTCTGGGTCCTGCTGGCCACAGCATCCAGTGAAGAGCTCTGTGGCCCCTTCCAAGGGCAGAAGGATGGAGCAGTTAGAGTCTAGTCTTCAAGCATTCCTTCAGATGCTGTGAATCACTGGGTATGGTGGCGCAAGTCTTTAGTCCGGCACTCAGGAGGCAGAGGCAGGGGGATCTCTAGTGAGTTCCAAGCCAGCTACAGGGAGACCCAGTCTCAAAAAAATGATTAAAAAAAAAAAAAAAGACGTTGAGGATTTTGTAGTAAGAGCCTATCTTTTTAAAAGGGGATGGGACTGGAAAGAATGCTCAGTGGTTAAGAGCACTGACGGCTCTTGCAGAGGACCCAGGTTCGATTCCCAGCACCCACATGGTGACTAAGCACTGTAACTCCAGCTCCAGGGGATCCAATACTCTATTCTGATCTCTGCCAGCATTGCTCAACACAGGTCACCTATCTACATGCTGGCAAGACATTCATACACATAAAATAAAAATGATAAATAAAATATTTAAAATAAATAAATAAATAAAGGTTACCCTAGGCCTGGTGGCACACAGGCCTGTAATTGCAGCTACTCAAGTAGGCTGAGGCAGGAGTATCATTAAGTTCTAGGTCTGCCTAAGGTATAGTGAAGACCAGGTTAGGTAATTTACTGAAACCTTGTCTTAAAATACAAAGTAAAAAAAGAGCCAAGGATGTTGCTTAGCAATACATGTTGTCAGGTGCTTATCTAGCATGCACAAAATCTTAAGTTACATTCCTACCACAGGTACTGGAGAGACAGCTCAGTCAGTAAAGTACTTGCCTCACAAGCATGAGGGCCTGAGTTTGACTCCTAAAACTGACATTAAAAAAATGCTGGGGGTGATAACACACACTTGTAATCTTAGCACCGGGGAGATGGAAACAGAAGATCCCTGAAGCTCACTGGCCAACCAGTCTAGCCTAACTGGTGAGCTCCAGACCAATAAGAGACCTTGACTCAAAGGAGGGCATTTCTGAGGACACCTGAGGTTGTCCTGGAGGCACACACATGTGCACTCCCACACATGAACGTGTGTACATACATACATGGCTTTTTCAAAAATCCCCACCACGGGAGAAAAAGGTTCCTTTGCTTCTTGGCCCCTCAGGGTGCAACCTCCTCCCCCAGGTCCTGGGACCAGCTGTTCTCCTTGAATCCTGCCAGCTTAGCCTGGCTGCAGTTCAAGGCCTCTCTGACCTCTGGCTGGGCCACTGCCCAGGCACAGCTGTGGGTATCTGACTCTGCCAAGAAGGCTTGTGGGAACAAGTCCCCTGCCCTGGCTGGCTGCCAAGGCCAGACTCCCCTGACCAAAGAGATTTTGCTTGTTCCCACTGGGTTCTAGGTAGATGACAGAGTGGGCTATCCCACGTCAGATAAAGAGAAATCCAGCAAGAAGAGAAACAGAAGTTAGGCAATTGTCCTCAAGACAAGAAGTCTCTGTGCCCCACCCTCAGCTGACCCATCAATCTCTGTAGCCATCACAGTAACTGTAGCCTATGTATTCCCCTCCCCATCAGTCTTCTGAGCACCTCCCTCTTGTGTAAATCCTGACTGCAACAGTATTGTACAGGTAAGAAACCAAACTCGGGTAGAGTGACTTGCTTTGGATTCCACAGCAAGTTGGTAGCCTAGTGGTACTGGAACCAGGTCAGCAAGCTGCAAAGCCTGCCTTAGGCTCCTCCCCATTGTCCTTGAAGTTAAGGTGCCTTTGTCCCTTGGCAATAAGACATTGAATCTTCCTGTTCCCCTTCCCAGCCCAGTGAAGCGTGGTTAAGGGATGGCCCAGAGGTGGTCCAAAAGCAGCCACTGGAAAAGCCCTGCTCAGCTAAGTCACTGTCATCAGGAGTGGGATGGGGAGGGTGCCACAGTGTGGGCAAGGTGAGCATAGAAGAGCCTGAGGAGAGGCATGGCAGGAGGGCTGAGGTGCAGAGGTGACAAGACACTCACTGCCTGCACCTATCCATTCCCTGACTGACTGACTGGCAGACACTGGGTAAGGGAGGCTAGCTTCCCAGGAAGAGAATAGAGATAAAGGCTGTAACCCTAGAGCAACGGTTTCTGCCCCTGGAACTGTAGGGCATGACAGAATTGACACAAAGTGCTTAACACTTAGGAAAGAAAAGGACCTCATATTTGGCACCAGATATTTGTGGAATCTTACAAATGTTTTATACTTTTTCCTCTAATCAGTACAATGTGGGCTGGGTGTGGTGGCACACACCTTTGATCCCAGCACTAGGGAGGCAGAGGCAAGTGACTCTCTGTGAGATCAAGGCCAGTCTGGTCCACATAGCTAGTTCCAGGCCAGATGGGGTTCCAGGGAGACCCTGTCTCAAAAAGACTAAAAAAAGCAAACAACCACAGTATGGCCTGACAGGATATACCTCATGACAGTCATTTCATAGATGTAGAAACTTAGGCCCACAGAGGCAGGGGGACTTGTCCATAAAAGCTCACCCAGCAGAGGACTGGTAGAGCTGGACCTAAGGTCAGCCCTATCACCAGAAATTCCTTTCATCTCCCACTTGAGGCCGTTCACTGTCAGGGCCTGGAGAAACCTGAACATACAAATGCATACAAACTCATACAAAGGCAGCAACACTGCTGGGATCTGAACATGGGGTCTTTTCTCCACAGACAACATCCTCAAGGGCACGTCCTGGCTAGAGAAAATGCCACCCAAGGTGGAGGGTAAGCCCCCAGAGCCTAACTCTGCTGAACAAGATGATGCCAGGCTGCCATCTTCAGAAGGAGCCAACTCGGCCCCTGGCATCTCCACCTCCACCTCTACTTCCACCACCTCCACCACCACCACCACTGTCACCACCACCACTCCAGCTCCCACTACCTCTTCCCGGCCCACCGAGCTACCTTTGCCACCAGAGGTCCCCAGCCAAGGTGAGTGAACCCCCTGAGTCTGAAAGCCCGGTTTGTAGCTAAGTCAAGCTTACATTTTGTCCTTGAGCTAAGAATGTTCAGCTCTTACAGCATTTTAAGAATTTTTGTTTGTTTTTTGTTTTGGTTTATTTTTTATGTGTACAAGTGTCTTGCCTGCATGTGTGTGTAAGTGCACCCATGTTGTGCAATGCTCACAGATGCCAGAAGAGGGTTGTCAGATTCCCCTGGAACTGGAGTTAGGGACTCCCAACCCAGGTCCTGTGCAAGAGCAGTCAGTGCTCTTAACTGCTGAGTTATCTCTCTAGTCCTCTGTTTTGGGTTTTTGAGACAGAGTTTCACTGTAGCCCAGGCTATCCTGGATTCACATTCCCCCTGCGTCAGCTTCCTGAGTGTTGAGATTATAGACATACTACACTGAGTCTAACTTGTTTTTTTAATTTTGTTATTTTTATTTTATGTGTATGAGTGTATTGCATGCATGTATGTGAGTGCACCCGTGTTGTGCAATGCTGGCAGAGGTCAGAAGAGGGCTTTGGATTTCCCTGGAACTGGAGTTAAGGATGGTTTGTAGCCGCCATGTGGGTGCTGGGAATTGCACCCAGCTCCTTTGCAAGAGCAGTCAGTGCTCTTAACCGCTGAGCCATCTCTCCAGCCCTGGCTTGTTTTTAAATTTTTATTATTTTTATTTATATACAAAATAAATAAATGAGACAGGGTCTCATTATCTCCTCCTAGCTGGTCTGGAACTCACTGTATAGACTAGGCTGGTCTCAGACTCACAGAGATCTGCCTGCCTCTGCTTCCCAAGTGCTGAGATTAAAGGTGAGTCTACCATGCCTATTTCTTTTTTCTTAAAGATTTGTGTGTGTGTGAACCTGTGTGTGTACACACCCACAGAGGCCAGAAGAGGGCATTGGGTGTCTTCTATCACTTGCTGCCTATTTATTTTTAAATTTTTAAATTTATTTTTATTTTATGTGTATGAGTGTTTCGTCTGCCTGTATGTAAGTTACCACCCCTGAGGATGCCAGAAGAGGCATTGGATCCCCTGGAACTGGAGTTACAGTTGTTAGCTGCCTTGTGGGTGCTGGGAACTGAACCAGGGTCCCCTGCTCTGCAAGAGCAGCCAGTGCTCTTAACTGTTAAGCCATCTCTTGAGCCCCAGCCTATTCCTTTTTTGAGGCAGGGTCTCTCCCTGAACCTGGGGCTTGCGTTTTCTTGGCTAGGCTAGAAGCCTGCAAGCCCTGGTGATCCTCCTGTCTCTGTGCACCTAGAAGCTTGTATTACAGGTGTGTCTGAGTTCACTGTCTTATTATGTGGATGCTGGGATCCAAACTCAAGTCCTCAAAATTGCACAGCAAGCACTATTAATTGCTGAGTCATCTCTCCAGACCCTGAGTTTACATTTTTAAAGCGTCATTAGAAAAAAAAAAAAAAACGAGAGACTATGGGGCAGAAGTTTATCCTATAATGCCTAAAGTATTAACTCTGATCCTTTATAGAAAAATTTTGCTAACATTTAAAATGGCTATAAATCAGGTATACTTGCAACAAATTTTTTAAATGTGACCTGGAACCCCATCACCAAACCCAGCCACTCTTTCTTTTCTTTATATCTTCTCTTTAGTCTTTGTGTGTTACTCTGGTTTTCTAGGCGGTAGGATTGAGCCCAGGGCCCCCAGCTACCAGCCCTGACCTAACCCCCAAGCACTCTGGCTGTTTTTATGTCCACATTTATAGCTGTGATTTGAGTCACATGTAGAAATCTCCCTCAGTAAATCATGGATCTGCCCTTCTGGAAGGTTCTTTGCTGTCTATGATAACAAGCCTTCAGACCCTTCCCTGCTCTGTTGCCATTTCCTTGCACACATCTTGCCAGAAGGATCCAGCAGCAATGTAGCAACAGCTACAACTAACGTGGTTTCCTCACAACACTGTTTCTAGTGTCAGAAAACTGGAAATAACCTGCAGCAGGACACGAGAATCAGGGACTGAATAAATTAAGGGCACAGCTGTATAGTGGCCTGGCAGGACCCAGAAATCACATCATTAAAAGGCTATTTAATGATGTGAGAAATCGCTCAGTGCTTAGAGAAAACAGGATATATAAAATTGTGTATTCAGAGGAATCAGTTTTTTTTCAAGTGTGTCTGCATGACTTTACATGCAGAGAAAAAAAAGGAAACACCACATATTCAAATTTTTATTTGTTGATAGAATTCATTTTAGAATCTTTTCTTTTGAGACAGGTTCTTGCTATTTAGACTTCACGGGCCTGGGATTCACTATGTAGCCCAGACTGGCTTCCAGTTCATGACAATTGCAATCTTGATCCCTCCCAAGTACAGGAATTCTAGGCATTCACCACTACACCCAGTTTCAATTTTCAAGTACTATGAAATACTGTGACTTCATTCCTCTTGTCTAAATTGCTATTTTGAAGCTTTGACCACCATCTCCCAATCCCTAACCCACCATACCCATCGCTCTGCTTCTCTGAGACAGACGGCTCTTTAACTTGCTCATAGAATGAATGCTGGACTTTTGAATGGTACACATCTCCTCCATTCCCTTTTTCTGACTATTCCACACTTTTCCCAGTAATCAGGCATTGATTTGATCATGGGCCCAAAAGGAAAAGGTCACCAATAAAACCATCAGTAAAGATTCAAGGTAGATTTGGATCACCTTTGGAGGACCACTGCTCTAGCTTGGAGCCAGTGGTTCTGCATGTCAAACACTGCCTCTTGCTCCCACAGGCAGGGAGGCTAGCTGTGAGGGCACCCTCCGGGACGTGGACCCCCCTGTGAAGCACCACAGCTATGGACGCCATGAGGGGGCCTGGATGAAGGACCCCACAGCACTAGATGACAGGATCTACATCACCAATTACTACTATGGAAACAGCCTGGTGGAGTTCCGCAACCTGGAAAATTTCAAACAAGGTCCGGCTAGGACTGGGAAGAGAAAGGGAACAGGGTGTGGTAGGCTTGGGGATGGGCTTCCGTGAGACTCAGCCCTCCCGTGTCTGTGGTTCCCTATGTCCAGCCTGGCCTAGCTGCACATAACCACCTGCCTCAAGGAGGGGAGTGCGGGTTTCCAGAGACCTCTGTCACTCCCTGCTGTGAACTGAATACAGGGACAAAGGAGATAGATACAGTCCTACTTCACCAATGTGACTTGCTGTCATGGGGAATAATAGTGAGTGTTCACTTGCTGAATGCTTGCTCTGTGAGTGTGTCAGCTCACATCTTGTATGTCTTCCTAAGTCCATAAGGTTATCACCTGTCCTCCAGGTAAGCCTGCCCCAGGTTTTAGTAGAGTTGTAGTTCTGGGCATAGCCCACAATGGGGTTGTTAGCACAAGGAAGGACAGATAGTGGTTATCAGATCTGGAACCTGATGGGGAAAGGGGTCAAGACAAGACTCACCTTCCAGAAATTCATATTCTGGAGTGAAAGGCAAAGGCTTTAAAGGGGCAATCTTGGTGCAGTTTTAAGGGGGTTCTATTTCAGGACTCTGTGGGACGTCACACAGGAAGCCTTCCAAGTTGTGGGGATGGAGGGGTTCTGATGCCAAGCTGAGCTCTGTGGAGGGTCAGGGGGAAGCCAGACAGAAGAGACAAGGAAGGGTGTTTCCAGGTGAAGCCTCAGCATGTGTGAAGGCCTGGCAGTGAGGGGTAGCATGATAGCATGGCGCAGGGTAGTGAGAGTAGGCTGGGGTACTGCCCTGTGTGGATGTATGGAGAACCATGGGGTCACATAGAATGACCTAGAACAGCTAACATCCTTCCAATATCAGCTTGAAATTGGCTTGGTCTGTGCCTGGAACAACTCACACACTGATAGAGATGGCAAGTGCCAAGACAAAGGCCCTTTCACCAAGACAAAGGCCCTTTCAGAACTCTGAAAGACAGGCAAGCATTTCCTATACAGATTGGATAGTAAATAGCAGACCTGACTGAAGGAAAAGTATATGCAAAGGCCCTGAGACAGCAGGCACAGGGCTGGAATCACCCTACATCTCAATCCTGGCTGCATATGTCACAACTGGAGATCCTGAGCCCAGGACTCACAAGCATGGGTATGACATTAGCACCTCCCCCAAGGCACCACTGTGATTAACTAGGTGGGCTCAGGTCCAACCACATAGTATGTCATTTGGTCGCAAGTACTTGCTAGGCACTGGTGAGCCCTTACTGGCATCCATGGTGAATAAGTGGGCTGGGGTTGTTTAGGGATCTCTGATGTGACCATCCACTCTTCATATGCAGGCCGCTGGAGTAACATGTACAAACTACCCTACAATTGGATTGGCACAGGCCACGTGGTATACCAGGGTGCTTTCTACTACAACCGTGCCTTCACCAAAAACATCATCAAATACGACCTGCGCCAGCGCTTTGTGGCATCCTGGGCACTGCTGCCTGATGTGATCTATGAGGACACCACTCCCTGGAAGTGGCGTGGCCACTCAGACATTGACTTTGCTGTTGATGAGAGTGGACTGTGGGTCATCTACCCAGCTGTGGATGAGCGCGATGAAACCCAGCCTGAGGTGATTGTGCTGAGCCGGCTTGACCCAGGAGACCTCTCTGTGCACCGGGAGACCACATGGAAGACACGGCTGCGGCGGAACTCCTACGGGAACTGCTTCCTAGTGTGCGGTATCCTGTATGCCGTGGACACTTACAACCAGCACGAAGGCCAGGTGGCCTATGCCTTCGACACCCACACAGGCACTGACGCTCACCCACAGCTGCCCTTCCTCAATGCATACTCCTACACCACCCAGATCGACTACAATCCCAAGGAGCGAGTGCTTTATGCTTGGGACAATGGTCACCAGCTCACCTACACCCTCCACTTTGTGGTCTGAGTGGGGACCTGTGCTCACAGAGGGAGCAGCAGAGGGGAAAGGGACTCCCCACAGCAACTCCTGCAACTGATATTTATTGGGACGTCCTAGGGCTAGGCGTTGGCTGTGGTGGTTGCCAGGACAGTGTTTCCTCAGCACCCAGCAGGTGACACTTGCTTCCACCACAGCACTGTGCCAGGGGCTTTTCCTGTACTTACCCTTTGAATCCTCCAACTGCCTCCCTCGGAGGCAGAGATCCTTAAGCCTATTGAACAAATGAGGTGACTAAGGCCCAGGGAGGCAGCATCCCAAAAGGAGGAGGGCAGGCCGTGTTCTCATAATAGCCCCATTTTATAAATGAGATGGCTTTGTTCTTCCCTCCTCTAGTCCTCTCACCTAGTCCCACATCCTCTCTCCTCTCTCTTTCCAGACCGCTACAAAACCTTAGAGATCGTTAGGACCTATGCAATGGGGTTCTGCAACTCCAGGCCCCTGTTCTGGATGAACATTAGCAACCTTGGTCTTAGAGTTTTTTGACCAGTGTCCCTGCATCTTGCCTGTGGTTAGCCCCTTGTCCTTCCCTGCTCTACTGTCTGGCCACATTCCAGAAGTTCACCATCATAGCCGCCACACCCTGGAGCAAACACAGGCTGGGCCTGTGGCCCTCCCTCCTTAGCCACTCCTCTTCCTAATGTTTCTCACTTATTTCTCAACAGCTGAGAAGGTACAAGCTGCTCAGCTCTGGCAGGGTGGGGTGCTGGCCTGAACCCCTGCCACCCACTTCTGGACCTCTCCTTCTCCAGCTACTCCCAGAGCCTTGGGCCTGGGGTTCTTTCTGGACCTTCAAAGTCACAGCCTCTTCATCCTCAGGTCTTCCAGGAGAGAGGCCTTCATCCCAGGCCAGGATGGTGCTAGGCTGGAGCAGTTTCCCTTGCCCTTGTCAATCTTGATCTGACCATTTGCTGGGCTGACTCAGCAGCCTGGGAATCTAGGGGAGACAGATCAGAAAGGTGCAGGGGAAAAGATTTTGGGCCTTCAGGTTGCAGGGAAAAAGCCCCAGGGACAGGTAGACTGAGGGTCTGAACACCAGGCTTTTCCTGACTTTGAGGTGTTAAAGCTAGTCCCAAGGCCTGAACTTGGGACTGTGGACACACAGTGAGCATGTACAAGCTACCCTGCACCTGGATTGGCACCTGTCCTAGAGCTGCTGGTGGTTCCTAGAGCCTCTAGATCCAGACAGCCCAGAGAACAAGACCTTCAAGGCTGCCCCTGTCTGCTGTGGGCATTATCTTTGGAGCTAGAAAGTTCTGTTGCCCGTCTCCTTGTTTTACCAAAGAAAAAATAGTCCCAGAAAAATCTAGGCTGTGGCGTGAAGTTACCTAGGGGACAGGTATAGCTGATATCCCTTGGGAGGTTCCTTTATCCTCCAAGCTGGGTAACAGCTTTGCCTGCAAAGGCAACAGAAACCCCAGCCCCTGCACCCAAGCTCCAGCACCTTTGAAGGTGTCTACCACTGACTCCTACCCAGCCCCTTGACCCTGTACCCACTCCTGGGATATCTTGCATTGGAATACCAGTTGCTCTGTTAGGAAATCATTCTGCAGAGCTGTAGGAAAGGGAGATTCACATCCTGTGCAGACTTCATATCTTTCAAGCATTGTCAGGTGATCTTTTGCTTAAGGAATAACTTGCCCCTGAAATAAACAGGGACCGTGACACCCAGTCAAGTCAGGTTTGACTCACAGTGGTAGCTACGTCCAGCCTCCTCCACCCAGTTGACTGCCACAGGCTCCTCTTTCAGCCTCTGCAGGGGCCTAGGAGGCCCCAGCCTTTCCCTTGGTCCTGGGTGTGGATTTTACAAGACTGTGTGTTTTGTGATGTCACAGCCAAACCATGTGAGAAGTGCTTAGGCCACTCTTTCTGTAGCAATCTGAGAAAAGGGGTTAGAACACATTCGTTTTGAGAAGTAAACATACAGCATAGTTTTCTGGGGTGGGAGACAGGGCCAATCACAGTCCCCAACCATTCTCAGGACTCCTGTTATCAGGCCTTTGTGAGTGTGTTATAATGGTAAATAGGGTTCTTTTCCTCATTTATAGATGATCACACTGGATCCCAGACAAGTCACTTGTCACAGGCCAATTGAGGAGAGTCAGGTTTCAAAATCAGGTAATAGAACCTGTCACTTATCAGAAATATCAATGTGCTGAACATGCAGCATTCACAGCCTTCTTAGAGCAGAAAGTACAGCCTTTAAAAGGGCCCATTCCTCGGGCGCGGTGGTGCACGCCTTTAATCCCAGCACTCAGGAGGCAGAGGCAGGCGGATCTCTGTGAGTTTAAGGCCAGCCTGGTCTACATAGTGAGTTCCAGGACAGCTGGGGCTACAGGGAGACCCTGTCTCAAAAAGACCAAAAAAAAAAAAAAAGGCCCATTTGACAGATGAAGACAATGTCAGAGAGGGATTTACCCAGGGTCACATGGCAGCTTTGTCTGTGGCGGCTAGGGGTTCAAACCTGCTCAGAGCAGGTTCTCTGCCATCTTAAATAATGGTAGTTGCTGTTGTCCAACGTGGCCAGGGTAAGAGCCCTCAGGAAGGAGGCTGAGATACAGAGCCTTGCACAACAAGCCAAGGAGTAGTCACCTCCAGCCACACCTGGTTTAAAGCGGAGTATAAATTAACAGAGCAAAGGAAATTCTTGGATGAATTGGATTTCATCCTGTTGGTGATGGGAAGCAGGGAAGGGTTTTTGCTGGGGGAGCACCCACCAGAATATCTGTAAGCTCTAAAGTAAACTTGACTCACACCAG